CGAAATGGTAATAGCGTGTTGTCTCGCTATTATCCCCCCCCCCCCTTACCCCTAATGACTATGGGTCTGAAGACCACAATTTGGAGATAGTTTTGCAAATGGCTAATTCAAACATATGAAATAGGTTCAAACTACAACCTAATGTGCTCCTAGCATCATTGGATGAAAAGATCTCATTAAAATAATTAGAAGAGTGCCTCTTTGTTGTGTGCCTCTGAATAGTACAAGATGCTCTTCACATCCCATGATGCTAAATACAAGGCTGTCTGGATGCATAGCACTTCAGCCAATGAGGGCAAAAGGGCAATGAATGGCTCTGTAATGATTCCACTGATATGGTCTTGAGAATGCGCTGTGGGTTTGCAGCTGTGACGGGGTCTTTAACATGCAAAGTCTCTCTTGTGCTAATATAAATGTGTCAGAATTAAATCCAATAATAGGAAACATGGTCTATTGTTTTCAGCTCATTTCATTCTGAATACGAGACTTGAGTCTCTTTAAAGACAATGCGTGCGGTTAAGAGGATGTAAACTAAATGGGTAGTTATTAGCTTCAACGATATTATGCCAAATATTGCTGCACGCCATTCATTTGCAGGATTTCATTCTTGAGCATGAAAATATGATGAGAGAGCTGCTTCGTTTCGACAATAAAGTCTTTGTCGAGGTTCGCCATAGCTATTATGAAAAACTATGCATAGGGTTAAGTACCTATCTAGTATGCAAAAAATTAAAACAAACGGCTCTCGTTTTTATCCCGAGGCAGATTTTGAGTGGCGTACACAACAGTTAGGCTGGAGATGAAGGAGTGGAGACAGATGCTGTGATCCACACTTCAGATTCCAGCAATCTGTGTTTCAGAAGCACAGAGAGCTCATCCATTCACTGGTAACAAAGCAACTGCTTTTTAACAGACTGCTGAATGAGACCTTATTGTGGTAACGTCCTGCAAACTAAAATTCTAATTTCCCCTAAATGGGGGTACTTGTTTGGAAAGTACAAACATTAGTGGATATTTCGGCTCAATTAAAATGCAAGCGCAAACATCATTTTCAAAGACTGTCATTGTATCTATTAGATGTGAATAAAAGCTGTCAGTCATCTAGGTTGTTTGCAGAGCAGCTAAACACAAAAAGCTCATAGTCATTTTGTTGGTGATGTATTTAAGTCAGTGTTTTCAGGTATTGCCAATTCAGTCTACTTCAGGAACAGAAGCAAAACCTGAAATACAAAACAGAGGGGCATTCAATAAAAATAGGAAAAGTCAGTGAATGCTTGCCTGCATTGCCTTTTTAGACACTGTAATACATGTTACTTATATAAAATGACATAAGCCTAGTTATGTAGCAGATGACAGACACCATAAATGGGACAGGTATGATCCTGGTATGTTTATTGCTTGGCTTAATCTTCTGTACTTCAACCTCTGAGTTACACCTAGATACAGGTGTTTACATTAAGGCATCTGACAGTAAATATTAGATATGCAACTTAAGCAAAAGGTAACTTCATTATGACCATAGACTGACTCGACCATACAGACGTTATTAGCTTGCTCTCTTAAGTGTTTCTGCTTGTAAACTGAGAAAAAAAAAAAAGAACTCAACACAGAGTGCTTGACAAATAGTTAATTATAAACACACTTTAGATGTATGACACCTCTACACGAGCATTTAAGAGTCATAAGGATGTTAGTATATCTCAAAATACAGCACCGAACAACCATCTGTAATTGCTTAATTAACATTAAGAATGTGTATGGGTTATCATTCCTTTTCAACTTTAGATAGTTCACCCAAAAATGAAAACTGTCATTATTTACTCACCCTGATGTGGTTCAAAATATTTGTATGACTTTTTTTTCTATGTGAAACACAAAAGACGTTGAAAATCACTAGTAACCAAACAATTTTGTTGCTATTGACTTCCACTGTGTGGACAAAAGAAAAAAAAGTACGGAGACATTTATCAAAATATTTTAATTTGTGTTCCACAGAAGAAAAAGAAAGTAGCCGATTTTGGGATGACATGAGGTAGAGTAAATGATGACAGAATTTTAATTTTTGGGTGAACTATTTAAATTGTAGCAGATATTCAGTGTTGACTTGCAATTAATATGAAGACATTAACCATCTGTATAATTAAAATAGTTTTAAAAATAGTTTTAGATGAAATAAAGCATTTGACATCACAGGAGGAGACTGATGTCACTGCCTGAAACGCCACGTCAACTACTCAATTACTGCTGGTTGCATGAGACTAGTAGGGATGGGCGATACCCCTTATTTTGTTTTTGATACGATACCGATATTTTTCAAGGCAGTATCGTCGATATCGATACCGATTCGATACTTCTGCACTAAACTTTTAAATTATGAAATGTATTAAATTACTAAGAGTAAAATGGGTAATGAAAACCAGTTAACTTTATGTTTAAAACGCATTTTAACCCATTTAATCCCAAATTTTTCCCAGACATGAAAATATCCAAATGATGCGTCATTAGTAACCCTTTGAAATAATCAATTTTATTTTTTTATTTTTCTTGGAAAAGTGTGTGAAAAATTTTATTTTATGGTCAGTCACAACTGTAACCGGTGGGATAATGTGTATACTGAATTAACATATTTCTGCAGACGTTCAATTTAAATAATTGTAATTGCACAAACTATGTAGGCTACAATTTCAATTTGTTTATTGTGAAATAACTCAAACATTTATGTTTTTATTTCTGTTCTCTGATAAGCGTTGTTCAGGGCTGCCATTCCCAAAAGCTTTAATGCTTTCTTATGATACTTTTGGGAAACGCAGCCGTTTGAATGAATGCACTGTCCGCAGTGAGTGAATGCTCTCTGTGTTTGATTGGTTCTGTCTTGCAACATTTGCGTGTGTTCAGATGAGCAGGAAAATAGTTCTATCCTACACAATTACTCGCTAACAAAGGTTATTCGTCCAATTCAATGCATATTGTACGCATTATTATTATTGTTATTTTTGTTAAATAAACAAAACCACTGGTAAATAAAGCGCACCTTAGTATCGATATTTTTTGTTTGAGTATCGATACTTTCGATACTCGCGTCAGTCGCGATATATCGATACGCCCATCCCTAGAGACTAGTCCCATATGGTAGGGAAATAGCCAACTGTTATCTTACCTCAGAGGGTCATGTTGTCCTTTCACTTGTCTTGGTTTCAGATCCAGACTATCATAAACATCAAGATTCTCTGGTTCCTCAATGTTAGTCTTATCATGTTGTTTGGGTTTAACGGCAGAGATGAGGTCAATTCGCATCTGGGGCTCTCGCTGGTACTCCTCTTGCACCAAACTCTCAGTATCGGACTCTAAGGAGTCCCACATTAGCGGTAAAGCGGGCACATTATTCCTTGGACTAGTCATTGTTCATGTTGAATCTGACTTTTGTCTGTTCCAGCGCCTCAGGCCCGTTCTGCTCGTGATGGCGTTGTTGTTCTGACTTCTGAGACGATCGACTTCAGGGCTTAATATCACAGAATCAACATTAAGGAGTGGTGAAAACACATTTTAATTTAGCTAGCGACGTTACTGAGCGTTAGTTCACTCGGTTGTTGACTGACTTTCCAAATCAGCTGTGTAACTTACGCTGTAATGTAAACGCCGAAATAATGTAAAACGTTGCTACAGCATCAAAACATTACCTCGTACACAAATCCATTGATTTGCTTCAGATTTAAGGATTTTTTTTACCTGCTATAAACATCGAAAGATGAGCCGTTCATTGTCAAGGAACGTTTCGTTTGCTAAACTGTTGCCGTGGAAACAAGCATGCGCAGAACTATTCCTTGCCCTTCAGACGGACACAAAAGCATTGAACCGTTGCGAACGACTTAAGATGTAGGAGGCCACTACGTATTTCTCATAATTGTTAGCGTTCAGTAAGAATTTTTTGTATGTAAATCATGTGTACATATACAAGAACTTTTAAAGTAATACTATTCTCATGGTGCATTGACGTTATGACGTCCAGTGGAGTAAAAAGCTTTTAAGCAATTTTAACCATTCAGGCTGAGGTTTACTGTAAAAACAGTGGATGATTAGCTTTGACACTTACTTTATATATGACCTGTCATTACAAAGCCAAAATGGCTGAAGCAAAAAGCTAAATTATGATGCACTGGATAGATTTAAATACATTACCCTAAGGACAGTGACACATTCTTGATATTTAGAGGTTAAATAATTTAAAAAGGTCAAACTCCAAACTTTCTGGTAAAAAAACAAAACCAAACAGAAAAACAGACAGAGGCAGTACTGGGAATAGGTCACCATTTTATTCACTTCCTTCAAAACATTGAGGCAGTTGGAAAAGGCTTATGAAATTCACATTTCACAAGTCAATAAATAGGTTGTGCAATCTAGGTAGAAAATCTGTTCCCTGTGATCTGGAAATGTGACCCGTTAATACCCTTTTTTTTTTTTTAAATTACAACCATCTCTCTGCAAGTTGAAGTCATCCAAAACTTCCACAAAAGTAACAATTTTAGAGGAGTCCAACTATAGAGGGCAACAGTAAACATTGCTACGGAGGTAGCGTAGTGGCTTTGGAATGGCTTAGTCGACCTCCTCAATGGTTGGGCCGGAGGATCCACCTCCTGGAGCAGAGCCGGCTCCTGGGAAGCCACCGGGCATACCATCAGGCATTCCACCTGGCATGCCTCCAGCACTCTGGTACAGCTTGGTGATGATGGGGTTGCATACCTTCTCCAGCTCCTTCTGCTGGTGCTCAAACTCCTCTTTCTCAGCAGTCTGAAAGTTTTCAAACACAGACGTCAAGTCACCGAGTTTGCCAGTGCAAGCTTGTAAAAGTAATCCAAAAGCCACTTGATTGGCCAAATGTCTAAACTGATAGCAAACTTACCTGGTTCTTGTCAAGCCAACTGATGACTTCATTGCACTTGTCAAGGATCTTCTGCTTGTCCTCATCACTGATCTTGCCCTTCAGTTTCTCATCCTCAACAGTGGACTTCATGTTGAAGGAGTAGGACTCCAGACCATTCTTGACAGACACCTTGTCACGCTGCACATCATCCTCAGCCTTGTACTTCTCTGCCTCCTGCACCATGCGCTCAATGTCCTCCTTGCTGAGACGACCTGAAATGGACTTCCAGTTAACCTCTAAAGTGGCCACCACAAAGTCTTTACATAATTAGGTGCAGAGGAGAGAAGACTTACCCTTGTCGTTGGTGATGGTGATTTTGTTCTCCTTGCCAGTGCTCTTATCCACAGCTGAAACATTCATGATGCCATTCGCATCAATGTCAAAGGTGACCTCAATCTGGGGAACACCACGAGGTGCAGGGGGGATTCCAGTAAGCTCAAACTTGCCCAGCAAGTTGTTATCCTTGGTCATTGCACGCTCACCCTCATAGACCTGAAAAGGGGGTAATTAAAACAAGATAGCATTGTTTAAAGTAATCGACGAGACATTGGGTGGGATAAAAGACTAAACTCCTAATAGAACTACTTCGTACCCACCTGAATAAGCACACCAGGCTGGTTGTCGGAGTAGGTGGTGAAAGTCTGAGTCTGTTTGGTTGGAATGGTGGTATTACGCTTGATGAGGACGGTCATGACTCCACCAGCGGTCTCAATTCCAAGGGACAGAGGAGTGACATCTAGCAGCAGCAAGTCCTGAACGTTCTCAGACTTATCACCAGAGAGGATGGCAGCCTGGACAGCTGAAACAGAAGAGTGAGAAATAAGAACCTTGGGCAAATTGAGATGGTCAGATAGCAATGACAGCAGTCGCTCAGACATCCAAGGAAGGTTCTTGGGCCATCTTTGGTCTTTCAACCTCTGGTGGAAACTACGAATGGCAAGGAATCAACTTCATCATAGCAAACGACAAAAATCACAGGATTAAAACAAATCACCCACCTGCTCCATAGGCCACAGCCTCATCAGGGTTGATGCTCTTGTTGAGCTCCTTGCCGTTAAAGTAGTCTTGGAGCAGCTTCTGGATTTTGGGAATGCGAGTGGAGCCACCAACCAGGACAATGTCGTGGATCTGAGCCTTGTCCATCTTGGCATCACGAAGGGACTTCTCTACTGGGTCCAAGGTTCCACGGAAGAGGTCAGCGTTGAGCTCCTCAAAACGGGCCCTTGTGATGGAGGTATAGAAATCGATACCCTCATAGAGGGAGTCGATCTCAATACTGGCCTGAGTGCTGGATGATAGGGTACGCTTGGCCCTCTCACAGGCGGTGCGGAGACGGCGAACGGCTCTCTTGTTGTCACTGATGTCCTTCTTGTGCTTGCGCTTGAACTCTGTGATGAAGTGGTTCACCATGCGGTTGTCAAAGTCTTCTCCACCCAAGTGAGTGTCTCCAGCAGTAGATTTTACCTCAAAGATGCCATCCTCAATGGTGAGGATAGACACATCGAAAGTGCCACCACCAAGATCGAAGATAAGAACATTCCTCTCAGCACCAACCTGAAAAGAAGAATTAAGAGCATAAGTATTTGCATGTACATTAATTAATTGTATGACACTCAATTTCACTCAGACATCCAAGGAAGGTGCTTGGGCCATCTTTGGTTTTACAACCTCTGGTGGAAACTACGAATGGCAAGGAATCAACTTCATCACAGCAAAACTAAAGCGTCAAAAAAAAAAAAAAAAACCTGAAAGATGCAAGTTTTTCAAACCTTTTTGTCCAGACCATAAGCAATAGCAGCAGCAGTTGGTTCATTGATGATACGCAGAACATTCAAGCCAGAGATGGTTCCAGCATCCTTGGTGGCCTGTCGCTGAGAATCGTTGAAGTAGGCAGGCACTGTGACGACGGCGTTGGAAACAGTCTGCAAAGAGTGTGCAAATTAGATCCCAACTGCCACTTGGAACTAAAGGCAACAATACATATAATAATAATAAACTACAGTATAGTGCATGTCGCTCAGACATCCAAGGAAGGTGCTTGGGCCATCTTTGGTTTTTCAACCTCTGGTGGAAACTACGAATGGCAAGGAATCAACTTCATCATAGCGAAGCACATAGTCAAATGGGAGTTCAATAGAGCGACCCCAGAAACAGCTGATTGATCACTCACCTTTCCCAGGTAGGCCTCAGCAATTTCCTTCATCTTGGTGAGGACCATGGAGGAAATCTCTTCAGGGTAGAACGACTTGGTCTCACCCTTGTAATCAACCTGGACCTTGGGACGGGTATTGTCATTGATGACATTAAAAGGCCAGTGCTTCATGTCAGACTGAACAACACCATCATCAAACCTGCGGCCAATCAGACGTTTGGCATCTATTGGAGAACAAGAAAAAAAAAAAGTTACAAGGTATATAGGGGTTTTAAGAAAAAAAAAAAAAAGTCAGGATTTCGCTCAGACATCCAAGGAAGGTGCTTGGGCCATCTTTGGTTTTTCAACCTCTGGTGGAAACTACGAATGGCAAGGAATCAACTTCATCATAGCGAATCACTTTTGGAATAAAAATGAATCGTATTAAATAATCACTTACCAAAGACTGTGTTGGTGGGGTTCATGGCGACCTGGTTTTTTGCAGCATCTCCAATCAACCTCTCAGAATCTGTGAAAGCTACATAGCTTGGAGTGGTCCGGTTTCCTTGGTCATTAGCGATGATTTCAACTTTTCCATGTTGGAAAACACCTACACAGGAGTAGGTGGTCCCGAGATCAATACCAACAGCTGGTCCCTTGGACATTGTGTCTATATAAAAAAATTAAAATAAAGAAAGGAAATTACATAATGAATTGAACGCTGTACACTGGCAAACAAAAGTAAAGGGATGCGTTCATTAGCTAATACAGTTGTGAAACCACAGAACACCAAGCCCTGGAGCACATGCGGATATGCGTCAGACCACGTGGTTCGAGCTTCTAACGTTACAAGATTCTATGGTGAATTTAAAATCAGACTGATCAAAATTAGTCAGATTCAACTTTTATAAACTTTCCTGTTATTGTGCTAAACGTGTCCGTGTACATTTTGAAAAAAATAAAACGATAAGCAGTATTATGTGACCAAAGCAACGCTGATCAACGCTTAAGGTCGGGTGAGGCGCGTGACAAGATCACGAGGTGCCGGTTGCGGTTTAAATTTAACCTATTGTTCTCTCGGGCATTTTGATTGTAGTGGCTATTATAAGAAATGTAATATGTCAGAGTTGATCGAAAAAACAAAAATGAAAACAAGAAAAGCAGTCTATGGAAGTGAAACAACTTTTAAAATTAAATAAAATAAATATGAATAACTGGAATCATTATGTAATGGTTCATTACATAAAAATATTCCACATGTATATAAAAAAAAAAGAAAAAGGAAATTCAGCTCTTTGTAATTAATGAAGTAACGATATACTACATGCAAGCAGAGAAGCAAATATTCAATATGAGATTATAAAGCCAATATAATAAAAAAAGATAGAACAAAGACCTTACCAAGTTGGAAATAGCCGAGATGGGTGAAGACGCCGGCTGAATAGCTGGAATGGCGACTAACTGCTGCCTCGCCTTGCTTAGTAGAGAGAACGGTCGAACGTTCCAGAACACTATATATTGCCGGTAGCCGAGCCAATGAAATTTCAGATGACTCAACTTCAGCCCGTAAGAACCAATGCAATACCGGAATATTTCGTTTAGCCACGCCCACTATGGGAAGAACCAAGGATATAACTGGTTGAAAAAAATTCAAACCATCCCCCACAAGTTTGCAGCAAACCGCTGTCAGTGCGGAACAGTGTCCTTTACATAGGAATGAAATCAGCCTGCACATTCACTGGAAATGCGTCGATGATACAGCAAAACAGAAATGTTTGATGAAAATATATCAAACCGTCGTTT